GGCTGTTCCGCCCCGCTTCCCTCAGGAACAGACACTGGTGCTTTTCTGCATCCAACTGCCCGTGCATGGAAACCCGTGAGAAGGCACAAAGCGGGACGTCCCTCCCGAGTGCTTTTCTGCCTCGAGAAGTTTTCTTGCAGGCACGTGCTTGTCACAAAGTGTGGAAATGGGACTGGGAGAGTTGGGGATCAGACGTGGGGCGCTGGCATCAGGCGGTCGGTGCTGGCAGGGCAGTACCTGCCAAGCCCGGGCAGCTCCGGGAGTCCCGAAGCCCCGCGGGTGGATGCTTTGAAATGCACACATCAGGAATCCGGTGGTTAGAAAAGCAGCGGTGCGGCCGCCTGTCCTCGCAGGGGCTTCCGTGCCCGTCCCTGCCCCGGGTGTAACTTTGTGTGGTGTCCTTGGAGTCACCGTTTGCTGCGAGGCTGACAGAGAAATCACGTCATTACGGCTCACCTTGTGAGAAACATGTGTGGGGCTGTGCTTTTTAGCGTGTGTAGGCAGTACTGTGCCAACAGTCAGTGTGCCCTAAGAAATCTGTGGAAGTTCTGAACAGTTGAGGGGGGTGGGATTATAATCCTGAGTATCAGAGGTTTATCTGAGATATGTGTTCCCCCCTGAGAGTCTTGTCTGTGTTATGCGTTTGGTTCTCCCATGGTTACAAACACTGCTTAGTCTGTGCTGGCTGTTCAGCATTATGTAACATTGCTGTATTAAAAAATGAAAACAAAAAAACCAAACCAACAACAACAAAACAACAAACAAAACATTAGCCTGGTAATTTGAATGGAGTCAAATCAACAAAGTGCTTTAAATGACATCAGTTTTCATCTACTCTAATTCAATATTACTAACGTATTTGTAGCAGACTAGAGGGTAATTATTGTAGGACTCTTCAAAGAAATGAGCTAAACATTGACAAGTCCTAAGGCCAGGTCTGTGCAGTGACCACTGGTGAAGCATAAAATCAGATATTGTTTTCTTCCCTATAAAATGAAGTTGACTTAATCTTAACAGAAGGAGTCATCAGATAAACTGAAGCATCTTTCTCAAACATCTTTTAAGTTCACTGTAGCATAAAATTGTTCTTTGCTCATACTGGTCTTTACCTGGATCCTACCCAAGCAGGCAAATAACTCCCATCAACTCAAATACAAAATCAGAGCCACAATCCCTGTAAGTACCCTCTCCTAGGAGGAGTATTTGTGTTCCTATTTCTGCTCCCATGGAAATCCATAAGCAGAGTCATGTCCTGGCCAAGACTACAAAATGCTGCTCCAGCAGATAATGAGAGATTTGGTTAGTGATGCATGTAAGCATATTTCATAACCAAAATATTTCATGGCTTAAGGCACCTTAAAAAATAAGCCAAGCTCCCTGAGGCAGCAGGGTAATCCCTTCCTGTGTTCGTGCCAGCAAATCTGACTCATGAGGACTGTTTGTCACAGTGGTGGGAAGAACTGGCCTCAAGTGCAGTCTCATTTTTTGCCAACCCAAATTTTGAAGAAGAAAACATGGAAGCAATACAGTGGAGTACAATGCAGATGAATTACAGAGACAAAACAAGGATGCCACAAATGGGGCAGTGACTTAAAGATCCAACCCACGTTTTGCAGTTTGGATTCAGGTGGTATTGAAAGGAAGATCTTCCCTGACAGAAGAATGAATAATTACATTGTACATTAAAATGCTTTAGATTCTAATCCTGAAAACAGTATCAACTCACTTTACTGGCTGAAACAGCCAGTGAAATACAGTGCAATAGCCTTTAAGTGCAAAACAAACCAATGCAGGAGTGTTTCATAAAAGGAGCCTCCGTATTTCAGTGAGTTTTTGCAGAGGAACATTTTTATTCTGTTTAAGTACCAAGCAGGATTAGAGAGTATTCCACAAAAATAACGTATATCCAATCATGCCCTTGTTCGCTTCAGTTTTCATCATTTCCAAATCTCGACCTCGGCATCTAAAACCGCGCTTACCCGGCGAGAAGCGCCTGAGTTTCTGCACACGCAGCGCTGCGGTTCGGGCACAGCAGCGCAGCCCCGAGGCTGCCCGCGGAGATGAGAAGCCGGGGCGTTGCTCTGCGGTGGGGAGGCCGTTGTTTTCTGTTGAAATAAACCGTCCACCCAAGAGACACTTGACCTGCCCGGCCCTCCGGGGCCCGCAGCCGTCCCGCCGGGCCCCCGCCCCGGGGGCAGCAGCGCGGG